ACAATGGCTCAGGAAAGTGTAAATCCGCAGGTGCCTTTGATTGTTCTGCAACAAGAGGAGAAGGGTGAGAGGCTTGGAGTTTCAATGAAGGAAATTGTGGAGGAAGTGATGGGTTCTGAAGAAAGTAAGGAGGTAGAAGTACATCAGTTGCCATGAGAGGAAGAATTCCAGGAGGTAATTCAGGAAAGAAAAAGTGTGAGCCCTGTTGTTGCCGCCAAACTCTCCAAAGGAAAAGTTGTGGTTGTATCATATGAAGGGGATGAAGGGAGTTTTGATTTGTCAAATGAGTGTCTGTCTAATGCTTCTCTCACATGATTTGATTACATCACATGGAAGAGGGGGTAAGAAGGCAGGGGGTGCGGGCAGGCACTCTAAAAATCGATGGTAGTTGCTTCATGGAACATGAGAGGTTTTAACAAAACCTCTAAGCAAGTGTTCATTAGTAAGTTTCTGAGAAATCACAATGTGGATATTTTAGCTATACTGGAAACTCTAGTACAGAAAGTAACATGGAAAAGATCTGCAGAGATCATTTTCTAGCTTGGAAACGATTAGACAACTACGATAAATCTTCAAATGGAAGGGTATGGATTCTGTATAAGCTTGAATTAAGTATCACAGATCTGGTTATTGAGGAAAACTTCATGCATCTGAAAGTAACAGGAAGGGAGGCATGCCAACTTACAGTGGTGTATAGTTCAAATGAGGAAGTGGCAAGAAGGGCAACCTATACCAAAATGAGAGCATTAAATACACAAAATGAACCTTGGTTAGTAATGGGAGACTTTAATGCTATTCTAGATTCGACAGAAGCATCAAATGGTACACAGCCAAGAACTAGTGGAATGGATTTCAAGGAATGGATAGATGATATGCACCTAGAGGAACACAAAGTGGCTGGAGATAAGTTTACATGGGTTAACAAGCAGGCTAGCAATCCAATAGCCAGGAAATTTGATAGGATATTCATGAATAGGAAATGGATGGTTGATTACCCCAGTAGTGTAGAAAGCACCATACTTCCAGGGGTCTACTCTGACCATTGTGGACTGTTGCTGAATACATCCCCAGACCAGAAAACACTAATGTTTCACCCTAAAATGTACCGAGGGCTTAACATGATAATAAATGGGGGCTGCGATATGGACTTTTTGTTCGATCTCCTCGGGAGGCGAGGAATCTGTGAGGAGAAGGGGGAGGCCCCCGGGATATACGCTATGACACCCAAATTAGTGCACATATAGATGACAGTGTATGTGAATGTAGAGAGGTGGTTTTAGAGAGAGACCTTAGGGGGGAGTGAGGAAAGGAAGGAGAGGATCTTTTGCTTGTGTGTGTGTGGGGGGGGGGGGGGGTGCTTAGGCCTAGGACGCTTTGTGGTGGGATTGGAACAATTGATAGTAGTTTGTCGTATTATATGGATTAATACATACCCAACAACTACCTAAACCGTTTAAGTTCTTTAATTTCAGGATTGATCATCCCCGGTTTAAGGAAATTGTGCAAGAAAGATGGAGTATGAGAGTGTCAGGTTATCCTTTTTTCAGGGTTTGCACTAAACTGAAGTTGCTGAAGAAGAAGTTGAAGGAGCTATATAAAGAATTCTACTCTGATATATCAAAAAGAGCTAGAGAGGCTGAGCAGAAGCTAAAAGAAATACAAGATAAACTGTTTGTTTCCCCTAGTACTACTTTGTTTCAACAAGAAGCTGCTGCAACTGAGGAATGTCACTTGTTTCAAAAGGTAGAGGAGGGGTTTTTCAGACAAAAAAGCGAGAGTAAAGGCAATATCTGAGGGGGATAGTAACACTGCTTACTTTCATCAATCTTTAAAGATGAGGCAACATAGAAATGAAATACCCTATCTGAAGAAGGATGATGGAAGTATAGTTACAGATGTTGAGGAGGTTGGACAAGTAGCGGTTGATTTTTACAAGAAGTTGTTAGGGAAGAAAAATCAGGAAGTTAGTGGGTGTTCTGTGGAAGAAATGCAGCAGCTATTAGTGCATAAGATCTCAGAAACAGAGGCAGAAGGTATGTGTAGGGTTGTTACTAAGGAAGAAATAAAAGAAGCTCTCTTTAGTATGGGTAAAGACAAGGCCCCAGGGCCAGATGGATACACTGTTGAGTTTTATAAGGCAGTTTGGAGTATAGTAGAAGATGAAATACTTGCAGCAATAGGGTTGTTCTTTGAAACTGGTTACTTACCAAGAGAGCTGAACTCTACTAACTTAGCTTTAATTCCAAGGTCACTCATGCAGATCAAATGAAACAATTCAGATCAATCTCCTGTTGCAATGTGTTGTACAAGTGTATATAAAAAATACTGGCTAATAGGATGTCTATGGTTCTACCTACTCTGGTTAGCAAGAGTCAGTCTGCTTTTATGAAAGGAAGAAGCATAAGTGATAACATACTCATGGCATCAGAATTAGTGGCAGGCTACAACAGGAAACACATATCAGCAAGGTGTACCATGAAGATCGACCTAATGAAAGCGTTTGACTCTATTGATTGGGATTTTCTTGTCACTGTATTGTAGGCAATGGGCTTACCCTCTCAGTTCATAGCATGGATAAGAACTTGTGTTACTACTCTGATGCTTAGTGTGGCCATTAATGGAGGCAGTTGTGGATACTTCTCTGCACAAAAAGATATTCGTCAGGGCGATCCTTTATCCCCCTTCCTCTTTACATTGGTTATGGAAGTATTATCATGTATATTGAACAAAGTAGCGGTAGATGGTGATCTCCCCTACCACCCTAGATGCAAGAGATTAGGGATTACACATCTAGCTTTTGCAGATGACCTATTAATTTTCTCCAATCGGTCTGGTAAGGCAGTTGAAAGTGTTTGTGGATTACTAGACAAGTTCTATCGGTTGTCAGGACTGCGATTTAACCCAGAAAAAGTCACATGTTTTGTGCTGGGGTGACAAAGGAAGAACATGAAAGATTATCTGAGATTTCAAGATTTCAGAAAGCTACATTGCCTGTTCGGTACCTAGGCGTGCCACTTATAGCACGAAAGCTTAGTTCAGGGGACTACAAGGTTTTAATTGACAAACTAACAAAGAGAATAATAGGATGGAAACCTAAACTGTTGAGTTATGCAGGAAAGTTGCAGCTCATTAATTTCGTATTGAGCAGCTTGTCCCAATATGGGATGAATGTCTTCTTATTGCCATTGTCTGTCATTAAGGAAGTAGAGATTAAATGCAATAATTTCCTTCGGGGAGTGGATGAGCATTCCGTGAGGACCAGAACAGTAGTAGCATGGGATCAACTGTCCATTTCTAAGGAGGAGGGAGGATTGGGGATAAAATGCCTTGAAACATGGAACATTGCTTGTACTACAAGACACATATGGAATTTGTTGATACATGGAGGGTCTTGGTGGGTGGCTTGGATTTACTTATATAAAATCAAAGACAACTCTTTCCGGGCAGTAACAGCAAGGAGCACTAGTTCATGGATCTGGAAATGTATACTAAAGGTTAGAGACAAAGTGGAGAGTTACTTCAATTGTTGGGGGGCACAAGTGTTCTGGAATGACAAACGCATGACTCAGTATTCAGTACAAACGGTTTGGAATGACCTGCATCCATCAAGATAGCAAGTGGCATGGTTTACATTGATCTGGTGCAAACATATGATCCCAAGGCACAGTTTTATATCTTGGCTAGTGGTGAAAAACAGGATAACTACCTTAGACAAGTTGAAGAATTGGGGGAAGATAAGTGATGATACATGTTTTCTATGTTCTGCAGCTCAGGAGAACATGCCTCACCTTTTTCTTTGAATATTCCTATTCTAGGAATGTATTAAGAGGGTGTATGCAAATGCTTCAGTTAACTTGCCCATGGTTTGCTAGCTATGATGGTTATCTGGAATGGACAGTAAAACAGTTTAAGGGTAAGAAAGCAACAGCTTTAGTGGGAAGGTTGGTCTGGAATGTAGCTGTAAGTTTGGTATGGCCCGAAAGATGCTCAAGGATGCATGGGGAACAAGGTAAACCAAGTGGTGAGATAGTAAGGACAGTTAGAAGGCTAATTGAATTAGCTAGATTTGGCAATGTAAACCTTCATTCTGATTGTAGCAAGGTGTTTCTGTAGCATGTTAGAGTATTAGTGGAGTAGTGATGGATAGTAGTTAGTACACAATAATAGTTTCTGCAGAATCTGCAGTATCTTGTAAATGATTAAGAATGCTTCCACCTAATTAAAGGGGATAGCATTGAGCTTCAATAAAAAAAATTTGATATTGCCCAAAACAAATTAATATATTAATTAATTAGTGGATAAGAAGGGATGAAAGAGCACCAACAAAAGGTAACAAGGACTAAGTAGAAGACAACTGAGTGTCAGAAACTTGAGGTATTAAAGACTGATTAGAGATAGTTTTACATTGAAATATCTTTTGTCAAAAAAAAAAAAAAAGACTGATTAGAGATAAATGAGTATCAGAAACTTGAATACAGTGAAAACATAATTCATAATCAATTTCTTCGTGATAACGGTGTTTTGGGAGAAGAAAATGTTGCGAGTCTTTAGAAGAAGAATCTTCAAATTGTTTACTAGTTTTTCGAATTTATTTTTTAATTGTCTTATTTTCTGAAGAATCTTCAAATTGTTTACTAGTTTTTTTCGAATTTATTTTTTAATTTTCTTATTGATTGGATAATAATATTGTCACTTTTTAGAAGATAGCTTTTTGAGAAGATAAATTTTCTATGAATATTATTTTGTCGGAAATACTAAAAATGTTTAATTTTTTTAAGTTAATTCAATTTTGAATGTATGCAGAGCATGATCTGTGAATTCACTTTATTGCATTTCTAAATATTTGAATGTGACTGAAATGAAATGCTTTCTCCATTCATTTGGTAAAAGTAAACACGTTTAGCATACAAGACCGTAGAGAACGATTTATGGGTACATACAAGATGATTTGCCAGGTTGTGTACCATACAAGATGGTTCCTTTCTTTGCTTCCAATGTTATGAACAGGTTTCAGTTTATTCCAAGTGGCAGTAAGCCAGTAACTAGAACGATTAAGAACATCCTTCAGAGTTCAGGGACAGGCTTGCACTCTTGTACATTGTTACGAGAGAACAAACTCACCGTAAGGCTCATGTAAATAACCAAATATGGACCCGTTCACGTTTAACGGAGCAATATCTCAGGCAAAGACACGTTGCAATCTCATTAGAGAAAATATTCAGGCTTGATGCAAGTATGCATAGATTAAAAAAAAAAAAAGATCTCAAAAGAGATTATAATACCAAACACTACCGTTTAGTCTCCACTGTACAGATACATAAGTCACGGCACCACGAACAAAGACACTTCGCACACCAACATTTCATGCATTATTTCTCAACCCAGAGGAAGGATAAACAAGCTCCAACATGTATTTGTTGGCTTCTTTTCATGGGAAAGGAGCTCTGAGTTTCATGTCAACCGGCTCCACGTCGATCTTGAACCCCTTGCCGTGCTGCTTCCAGTAGTCCGCCATCGGGTTCAGCCACTCCGGCTCCGCGATCTCCACCCTCGAATCTCGAATCGCCTCTGTGAGTATGTTGTACTTGAGATCCCTTGTGCGCACCAGTTCGGGTGATGGCACCCCCATGTTCACGCCTTGTGGCGACACCATTAGTGCTGGTGTTCCTATCGGCAGCCTGTCCCCTGTATTTTTATCATGGAACCGAGACTTGGTGAGTGGTAAAAGAAACTACATCAATTATTAATTAATCAACCACAACAGAGCTAATCAGCACCTCGGTCTAGCTGCCAAGTGCACCAAAACTTGCCGTAGCTTTTGGCCAAATTCTCCAGCTCTGGCTTCACTACGACCTCTGGAACCCTGGGGTTCACCCACAGCCCTGATTTTATCTGCATCCAATCACTTCCAGCATTTCACACATTGCCAAGATTCAACAGTCGATCATAATACGATCGAATATACAATTGGATAACAGATTCGACCTCGTAAGCGTGGGAATGCCAGAGCTTCTGTTCGTCTGGAGGCAGGGCTTCGAATGTCTTGTCAGATACTATGTACTCCACTCCTGCACCCAAAATGATAAGCGACAGATTTAATAATCAATCAACCCGAATGATTTCTCAAGGCAGCAACCAATTTGTTACTCCCACGGTGTAGACTAATAAGACTAAATTAGACGAGGCAACCCATGGGCCTGGTTATAGGTTTTAAGTAACAGAGCCAACCACAGGCAAATTCGACCAAAAACCACCTGACCTACTCATAGGTTTCCCAGAGTGAACTCTAATCACTAATCACTAATCACGAAGTTTATAGTTATGACACGGAACTGGTCAGCATCAAATGAGGTGATGGATAAAACTCGTATAGCTACAACAAAATTTGGCAAAAAAAGAGGAAACCAAAATTAGAAGGAAAGGTAAAAGGAACCTATGAGGCGGCCATGGGAGCCATCGGAGTCGTAGACAGCACACTGGAGGAAATCCTGGTTGATACGGGTGCAGTAGTGGTGAGTCTCGATCTGGCGGGTCATGTCGTGGCTATAGATAGCGAAGCTGCAACCATGCTGGCTGATCTGCTTCATCGGCTTCAGCCTCTGAAGCATCATGGCCCCTTTGTCCACAATGTGCTGCTCCATCGTCATCGGTTTCCCTGGCGGTATCGGCTCACCTGCTCCCTCCACCTTCTTGGCTCCCATCGCCGGTTCGTCGCTGGAAGTCGACATCGCCTGAAACAGAAAGACAATTTGATAGAGAGGGTGCGGTTGGTTGTGGGAAGGGGGGAAACTGGCAGTGGCACTGGCAAGTGGCGACCATTTGTTCTGTGGAGGATTTTATAAACAGGGAGGAGGAGAAAGAAATGGTGGGTTAAGATGACGTGGAAGGGTGGAAGGAATGGCACGTCGGCATGCATTGGAGAGTGAGGTGGCGGAGAGGTGTGTAGTAGTTTGGACAAGTGGATGCCTCTGAGGATTCCTCGGGTTACTTGGATAGTTTCGTTCTTCTCTTACTCCCCATCCAATTTGGCCATATTCTAGCTAACCTTGACAATATATATATATATATATATATGGTAAAGGCTAGCGTACGCATGACGTACGCTGTACGCCTGTGTTCACACTTATAAATTAATTTTTATTATTTATAATTTAATTATAATTATATTAATTATTAATGATAATTATATTTACAAAAACATCCGTTAATATATTTTTCTATACCCTATACACCCGGAACATTTTTAGCATTCATTATCTGTAAATCATCATCTAAATATTCCTTTTATAAATTATAGTGCCTTCTTTATTCATAGTAAAGTTCAACACACCCAAACTTTATATGGAGAATCAAAAGTCTTCCATTCAATTCACGTAGCTATTAGTGTTGTTTTATGTTTTGATTTGGCTGTTACCCGATGAGGCGCTGACGCCGGCGTGTTGCAGCTCCACGTTGATGGGCTTTGCTTTCAGGTGAGATCCGCGCCTGCTTTCTACAAATTACGACGGGAGAAAACCCATCAATTTGGTTGTAAATCGAGAACTGGAATCTCCGCCTTCAGCCATCGATTTCGTTCAAATAGTGAAGGGAATCCCCAATCCGGCCGTCGCTTTAGGTCTTAGACATGAGTTGTACAGTTTGGCCCTCATCTTGAATTCTCAGTCGTCTAGGGAGATCTAGATTGCAGATTCCATTCATGATACCGCCGGGACGAGGAGGGATTTCGTCAATCCCGACTGTCTCCGATTCCATTCACCCCTCCCTATTCCTATTCCCCACTCGTCGGAGTTCTGCCGGACTCAATCGCTGGCCTAACCGCCCTCCGCACCCCATCCTCTCTCGCTCCCGCTTCTCCGGCCAGATCCCTTCCTCCATCTCTAACCCGGCTCGCTCTAGGTCCAAGGCTGCATACCGTCGGAGGCTGGTCATATCTCACGACCATGGCGGCTCAACTTTGATGCCAGTTACGGGAACATAAGATCGAGAAGGAGAAAGGACAAATTGAAAATTCTTGTCTGCCCAGGTAAGGGATTAGAGATGAGACTAAATGCAGTCTTTCCCTCCTGATTACAAAGAGGATAGGAAATTCTCATTGACGAAGACCAAGAGGATGGGAAATGGGAAGAGGTAGGAGATTAATGGTCTCTGGGTAAGTGACGTATTTCTCAGAAAAGTGAATGAACACTGGCACTGGTTGTTGTCGTTTAGGGTTTTACTGGTGTACTCTAAAAAGTAAATGAAACCAACTTCCATAAACAATTACAAATTATTATTGGACTATCGTTTTTAACAAGAAATTTTGGTGTTATAATTCTTCATTAGCAAAATTAAGGTACTATCGTGTTTATATTGGATACTTATAGGATTGATTTGAGCATAATGATTGATTTGGGACTAATTCGTATAGAAACTTAAATTTATAGGTGTAATTGTAATTATAATTTTTTATCAATTATTAATTTAATTATTATTAATTAAAAATATTAACAGGTGTGAACACAGGCGTACAATGTACGGCGGGTGTACGCTAGCCTGAACTATATATATATATGGTTATGTCTTCGGTGCACTCACTTTTTTGGGTGCATTCAATGCACCCGCCTCATAATCGTCATTCTGAGCAGACGATTCATGTGAAAACGATGTCAATCATCCCTTGTAGTATGATGAACAAGAACCACATGAATTTGTACAAAAATCAATCAAGGTTCACTTTAATTTGAATGATTCAGGGTTTAGGAATTTAGGGTTAGGGTTAGGGTTTACAATTTGGGATTTTGGGTTTAGATTCAAAATTGAATGTTAATAGGTTAGGGTAATGGGTTGATTAGTTGTGATTTTATGTTATATCATCATATGAGACTAATGCTACCCATTAAATTTCAAAATTTGATGTATTATGACCACTTTTAGAGGTGGGTGCACTGAATGCACCCAAAAAAGTGAGTGCACCAAAGTAGCCACCATATATATATATATATATATATTATATTATAGTCGGATGAAATAATAGACAGATATGTTTACCATGGGTAAAAATAACGTCAGTTGATACTAATCGATCTGGCGATGAGCTCTGCAAAATTAGCGAAGGATAAAACCATTATAGTTGGAGCCGTATAAATCGGTTTTATGAAAACGTTCTTCTAGAAGAGGAAGACGATTCAATAGGAAAGACTTGAATTGATTTATTTATTCTAAAAGACAAATATAGCACAGCTGGCTGTTCCATAAATCATAATATGATCAGATAGCAACCGTCCAGAAGAAAACGAAGATGCCCAAGAATGGTAAACGAGTTTGCTTAGCACCGTAAATCATAATATGATCAGATCACAATGACCATGGTTAATTTGTAAAGCAACTTGTAAAGTGACGAGCTTGCTTATAGATGATCCCATCATTAAGCCTATGTCTGGTCTCACACTACGCCAGCTCTCAAACTAGAAAGGGAATCCTTACTAGGATTCTCAGAGGAGGGTCAAGTAATACAAGCTTGCGATAAAAACGTGAGAACGTCAATATCAATGCAGCAGCAGCATCCATGTTTGGACAATGGGAAACAAGAAAGATGATGGAGGGTTTGAGGTTGGACAAACCGAGGTAATTAGATGCATCAGTGGCGGCTGCCAATATTGAGGAATATTCTGTTTGCCCATAAATGGAGCCCAAAATCAAATGCAAGAGAGACCCATCCTGGGCATCATCTGTGGAGCTTCTGTCAAAACAAGCAGCAAGGCAAACCGGCACAGACAACCATGGTATTAGTCTGTTTACAGTTCCAAGCATAGTGTTATTACCTACTTTTCTTTTTCAGTGCTTTACATGCTAGCGTGCACTTAAAAGAAAAGTACTTATTTATGAGCAATTTCTAGGAGAAACATGAGGTTGTTGAGGGGAAGGTAGACTGGAAGGGAAGACCAGCTCAGAGACACAAACATGGAGGAACCAGGACGTCTTACTTCATACTAGGCAAGCAATGCATTTATATAAATGCAAAAGTTTTCATATTTGGTAGTCGGGTTTTAGGTGTTACCTCCTTGCAAGAGTGACTGTTTTGAGACTTGTGTTTGATTGTGCAGTCGGGCTTGCCTGTGAAAACATGGCCACTGTTGCGCTGGCAGTGAACTTGGTGACTTATTTCAATGGGATTATGCACATGGAAGTGGCAGAAGCAGCAAATCAGCTGACAAACTACATGGGGGCTAGCAACATCCTGGCCATTCTATTCGCTATACTCGCAGATACTTACATTGGCAGACTCAGAGCTGTCATCTTTTCAGCTTGCCTCGAGATGCTGGTAAAGCTCAGCTCTTTATTCATGCATTAACATCCTCACTGTGAGGTAACAAAGATCAAACATGAAATCCCCACTTGTGTCCAGGGACTAGCATTGCTAGCTATCCAAGCCCATCACCCCAAGATGAAGCCACCCACATGTAATGTATTCAACCCAGCTGATCACTGTGAGAAAGTCGAAGGCGGAAATGCTGCATATCTCTATGCCTCTCTCTACTTGCTCGCCGCTGGATCAGCAGGGCTCAAAGCATCATTACCGGCACATGGTGCTGATCAATTTGACGAGAAAGACCCAAAAGAAGCAAGGCAGAGGTCTGGCTTCTTCAACTATCTGTTGCTGGCAGCGTGTAGTGGCGGTGCAATCAGCTTAACACTCCTTGTTTGGATCCAAGACCACAGAGGATGGGACATAGGTTTTGGGTTTGGTTGCATAGGCGTTGCTTTCGGCATACTCATGATATTGATCGGCCTGCCTTGGTACCGGATTCAACTAATTGAAGGATCGACCGCCCTTACTGAGATCGTTCAGGTTTTCCCACGACTGCAAATTTCCTGTCTTTAGGCCACCGCAAAAAGAGCACTCACTAAACCAATTGGTCATTTCTGCAGGTTTATGTTGCAGCCTACAGGAACATAAAACTTCAACTTCCAGAAGACCCTTCCGAGCTCTATGAGATAAGCAAAGACAAGGAAGCAGCAATGGAAGTAGAATTTCTAGCTCACAGAGAAATTTTCAAGTTCCTAGACAAAGCAGCTATTAATCAACCATTACCAGAAACAGCAAAAGACCATTCACCTGCTACTCTCCAAAAACCGCCTAACCCATGGAGACTAATCAGGGTCACACAAGTAGAGAACGCCAAAATCGTGCTGGGAATGCTACCAATGTTCTTCTGCACAATCATCATGACCCTTTGCCTAGCTCCGCTCCAAACATTCTCAATCGTACAAGGGCTAACCATGGATCCCACAATCACCAAATCAATCAAAATCCCACCAGCTACCCTACCTGTAATCCCAATTCTCTTCCTAATGATCCTAGTCCCAATCTACAACCATCTATTCGTACCTCTCATCCGCAAGCTCACCGGCCATCCCACCGGGATAACGCACCTGCAACGAATCGGAGTCGGGCTGACCCTCTCGTGCCTGTCGATGACCGCCGCATCGATCATGGAAGTGAAGCGCAAGGCGGTGGCGAGAGACCACGGGATGCTCGACGCCTTGCCGAAGTCGCAGCCGCTACCGATTAGCACATTGTGGCTGTCGATCCAGTTCTTCATATTCGGAGTCGCCGACATGTTCACCTACGTCGGCCTGCTGGAGTTCTTCTACTCGGAGGCTCCCCGGGCGCTCAAGTCCATGTCGACTTCTTTGCTCTGGAACTCCATGGCGCTTGGTTACTTCTTGAGCACCATATTGGTGAAGCTCGTGAATAGAGCGACGAAGGATAGGACGAGAAGCGGGGGATGGCTGGCCGGAAACAACATCAATAGGAATCATCTGAATCTGTTCTATCTGCTGCTGGCGATTTTGAGTTTGATCAATTTCTGCATCTATGTCGTCGTCGCCAGGAGGTACGAGTACCGGCCACAGTCTCACCCGGTTGAAGCTTCTAAAGTTCGTGTGGATTCCAATGAGAAGCCGGCGGCGAAGATTAAAGTGGAAAATTGACTTGGGCCAGGCTTCGGCCCACTACCAAAAATTAAGCAATATGGTATTGGGGTGGCAATCCCAAATAAATTGTATAGTGGGGATTTTTCCCAAAATACAAGCCTTCCAAAAGAATATTCTCAACACTTACTAAATGAGAGAATCATTGTGAATTACTCAGTGTACATTAAACCGTACCGGCGGTTCAACCACGAAATACCCGTATCGGAGGCTAAACCAATATGCGACATTTACCGGTATAACGGTTGAACTACGGTTAAACCACGGTTTTACCATAAAATACCCTACCGCTGACTTTCCCGATACGGTCTCCGGTACGGGTTCATGGACCATGGAATTACTATGTAGAATTTATTGTCGAATGAAACCTTGTGTTTGATATGTCATATTCAAATATGTAGAAATGAAATAAATTATTTTATAGAATTCATTGTCAAATGAATTTATGTGTTTGGTATGACATATGCGTAAGTAATTTAGTTAATAAAAGAGGATAATTATATCATTCTGTTATAATTAGTAAATACTTGATGAATTTATTTGGAAATTCCATCTGAAATCCACGAAATTGCTATAACTAGTTCCAATTTCATAGAATTGAAAATTTAGAATTGAAAATGAATTATTTTAAATATCAATCGCAAAAATGTTTCGTTTTAAAATGAATTTCTCAAAACTTATGAAATTCATTTATACTAAACTATATGTTACCAAAATATATAAGTTTGATTTGTTGAGTATCCAGCGACTTAGATACTCGTTCGCTAGAGTATGGAGCGAATTTGTGTGAATCGTGACCAACAAAAGCGCACTAGCATTGAATTAGATTGGATTGCAGCAAACAAAAATTATCCGCTCAGATTGCTGATGACTCCAACAATCTTACCCCAAATCGTTGAAGTGTCCAGCAGTCCACACCTAACATACTACGAAGTTTCAAACGACAAACCTTCGAAGTCGCAAACCGTTGTAGGTGGTTTTATTCGCCTTCATCACCAAAAAATATTATTTGTTGTCCCCAAAAGGGCCAATTTGTAAATTCTCCAAACTTCGAATGAGCTTTACTTTGTACCAGCAATCCGATCATTGCAAAAAAAACAATGATTTTGCATAGTTTTTCAAGGATAACAACTTTTGTTATATAAGCATTTTCGGAATATATGGCAAAAGGTAAAACTAAATCTAAACTTATTCTCAAAACCTCTTTAAGAAAAAACATTTTCTCTTTTAGAAATTGCTATACAATAATTACGGCTTCGAAGATCCCAAAAATTTCTGTGGAATAATGAAATCGCTATAATCGAGTGCAGAGTTACGGTGATTTGAAGTTACAATGTGTGTTTAGTGCAGATTTCTAGACACTCCATCAATTTCCCGGGGGGGGGGGGGGGGGGGGGGGGCAAAGATCGCTAGTGTCTTTAGCAATATAGGTGGATCTCTCTTGTCTCCCGTGATCCATGGTGGTTTGAGAGTGATCCATTTGAGTTGCCTGCTATTTAGGATGTCTCGTTTCGATCTCCAGCGAACCAATACCTAGATCACAGTACACTCTGGTGAACCACACCAAACTTAAGTATTTTGGGAATTGGTAGTGTAAGTGTGGAATTATGTAAATTTTTCATAGAAAGTCTGTTGGTACATCAAGCATGAGACGTTTCCCCTTTCTTGCTGCTGTGAGACGATCACTGATGAATTCCTTTTTTGATTTTTGCTTCTGTGAATTTTTCTGAGAATGAAGAGATGGAAATTTTGATCAAAATTAACCCTTCACTTTCTCCTTCAACAGGTTTCAGGATCCCGTTGAGCTCAGATACTCGACTTGGGCTTAGAGCCCAAAATGACACGTGTTAAAAATCCTTCTTCGTTTAGTAATCAAGACCACGTTGATTAAACGCAGTCGTATTGCTGGGTTCGGTTGTAGTTTAATCCACCGTCTCCAAAGATGAACCCAGTTCCCCTGCAACCTGTTCTTCAGCTCTAGAACAGAGCAACTACACACTTACACTGGAAACCAAACAACAACCGGGGCTTTTCAGTGGTTTCCGGTGAAGGGATAAATGAGAATCCCTGCACCGACTATTCCACGATCAGAGGTTCGCGACCCCGCGATCTCTAATATTTCACTAAGGATGTTATAGTTACAGCTCTAACAACGATTCAAAGAAAATCAAAACAAACTCCCCCTCAATCAGCTCCCTGCTCGATTGAGATTCAACCCTCTTACTCACCTATCGACTACCCAGCCAATAGAACATAGAGAGACCAATTTCAACCCAGAAACCTCTCTCTATCACTGACCCACTTTTCACTCGAAAAACACTCACTCGCACCTCTATGTTGTATTGTTTTTCTCTTCTGAAAAGTTGTGCCAATCACTCTACAAACCATCCCTTTTATACTTGATTCTCTAGGCTTGTATGCCGCATACTTGCCTTTGATTATTTCATCGCTTGATTAGCTCCTAGGATTCCACCGTTCAATTTCTTTCCTTCTTTGTCGAACCTAGCCGTTAGGGACGAGGCTCTCCTCTGATCTTTGCCGAGCTGACATCAACAATCTCCCCCCTCAGCTTGGCAATACCCAAACCTGCGAAAAGAAGAAAGAAAAACAGCACTCCAACTACTCCACTCGTTAAATAATACTTCATGAATTAACAGTACTCGACGTAAACTCAACCAACCATTTAACTTAAACAATTCATCCAGTTCATACTTATCCAGCAACTTAAAACAAATAAACCACCCAGTTCACACTACTAGCCATACTGAAAAGTAGGCTTATTCAAACACAAAGCTAAGGGAAAGAAACAACCAACTAGACCACCCTATCAAGTAGCCCCCTCTCACTAGGAATTTCCAAACAATTTAGTAATCGAACTCCGGGTCAGTCTCATAATCTGAAATGTCTCCAGAGAATGCTTCCTCGGGTTCGGTTTCTTCCTGTAGTGTTTCCAGAAGACTACTGTACGCTATGTCTCCATGAACCCGAATCTTAATACTTTTTCCAGCAGTAGTAGGACGAGTTCCTTCCCCTTTGAAGTGACTCCCTAGCATATCTTGAGTGTTAGAAGGGTTGATCTTCTGCTTTCCTTTGTCTGCAGTTGATGCTCCAGTGGCCTTCTTTACAGCCCTTGCTACAGCTGCCAGGTCATCATTGATGTTGCGAAAAAGGGTCTGATGTCCATCCCCTATTTTAGCCTCAAAAAGCTCAGCAGCAGTGGGAGGGTAGGCTCTCTCTCCCCCTTGGGGATTGACAAGCTTACGTACTCCTACGCTGGCGTCAACACGCCGCAGAACATGCTGAGCGCGCAGGGTGTCGAGCACATTGACTGTGGAGACATTGTCTTCCAGATCAATCCCAAGGCAGCGAAGCATCCTGGTGATATAAGGGACACAAGGGAGATAGCCGGATTTCTAGGATCTCCATAGGATAGGAAGTGATTGAAAAGGAGGTGAGGATAGCTCAATCGAGATCCAGACACTGCATGGGATAGAATCCGTACATCTGTGGGCGTAACCAATATTTGGTTGGTGGATCTGGGAAGAAACACCCTGGTTATGAAGAAGTGAAGCACTTTAAGATCATTTGACAAGAATTTCACATGGGTATAATTTGTCCCAGTGTATTCATCGTCAGTTGACGGTGCCAGAAGTTCAATCTCCTCCTGGAGATTGAAATGAAAGAGAGGGAAGTTATCTTCCGACATCAGCATCCTTCCTTCAGTGGAAAAACCCAGCAGACGAGAAATTAATTCCACAGTGATGGTGACTGGGTGTCCATACACTGTGGTATTAAAATATGCAGGACGCTGGTTGGCATCTTTGCGCATACTGGCATAAAACAGTCGAACTACTTCAGGACAGTATGTGAACCTCCTGTTTTCTAGGAGAGGGCTCCACCCAAGGCTTTGAATAAGCTCAGAAACCCTCAGACAATAACAATTGAAAGTTGAGGGTTCAATGGTAAAGGAGGGAAACAAACGACGATGGCGGTAGTTTTGAAGGTAGTGAGGGTAGTCTTTTAGTTCAGAAACATAGTTGTTTGTGAACACAGAAGCACAAGCAATGATAAGGGATAGTTGGGGATTGAAAGCCATGATGAACTGAATAGGATACGAAGGATTGAGAGCTAAAGAGTGTGAGTGACTTCTACTGACTCCACTCAAAGGGGTATATATACTAATGCTAGAGGTGAGAAACTAGGAAATACAAATTCTTAGAAGGATGCAAATCACGTCAATCATTCAATATCATAGCATGAATCACTCGCAATTAGCAAACTTTAAGGTAAGTAAGATATTTCGACAGCAGGCACTCAATCAAAACACACATTCAGAGAAAACTTTTGAATCTGCAATTAATGAGATAGAAACTTACAGAGAGTTGATGTTATATACTTCTGCCAAGGAAAACATACCAAGTTCGTTTCTAATGCAAGATAAAGTTTCTATACCTAGAGGCTTTGTAAAAATATCAGCCTACTGAAAACGAGTAGGGACAAACTCTAGGTGAACTTTTTCATCTTGGACTAACTCCCTAATAAAATGGTACCTAATGTCAATATGTTTTGTCCTAGAGTGCTTGATAGGATTCTTAGTGATGTTTATAGCACTAGTATTATCACACAGAATTGGTAGAGATCCGAGGTTAATTCCAAAGTCTGAAAGCTGGTGTTTAATCCACAGAAGTTCGCACAGCAGGACCCTGCTTCTATGTACTATGCTTCTGCAGTTGACAGGGCTACAGAATTTTGTTTTTACTCGACCAGGAGATTAACGAGGATCCTAAAAAATGACAAGCACCAGTTGTACTTCTCCTATCAACTAGGCTCCCTGCATAATCCGAGTCACTATACCCAATAGGGTCTAGACCAGAATCAGAAGAGTACCACAGTCCTAGAGTGGGAGTACTAGACAGGTATCTAAAAATGTGTTTAACTGCTGATAAGTGGCTTTCCTTGGGGTTACTTTGGAAACGAGCACACAGACCAACACTAAACGCAATGTCAGGTCTACTAGCAGTGAGATAGAGTAATGAGCCAATCATCCCTCGATACAATTTTTCATTTACATCTGTACCAGAAACATCCTTGTCTAGTTTGATGTTAGTGGCCATAGGAGTGGATGCAGTTTTAAGGGAATCCAAACCAAACCTTTTTAACATATTCTGAAGGTATTTTTGTTGATTAATGAAGGTTCCTTTAGCATACTGACTTACCTGAAGACCTAAGAAATAGGTCAGCTCCCCCATTAGGCTCATCTCAAACGTCTCTTTCATGATTACCTCAAATTCACGACACATTTCTAGATTTGATGACCCAAAAATGATGTCATCAACTTAGACTTGGACTAATAACATGTGTTCATCTTTGGATTTTATGAATAAATTTTTATCAATTGACCCCCTACAAAAACCAGATTGAAGAAGGAAACTACTCAATTTGTCGTATTAGGCTCTAGGAGCTTGCTTAAGACCATATAGAGCCTTTTTAAGCTTATAAACATAATCTGGATGTTTGGGATCTTCAAAACCAGGAGGTTGAGAGACATAAACATCCTCTCTCAGGTCTCCATTCAAAAAGGCACTTTTTATGTCCATTTGGAATAACTTAAAACCTTTGGAAGCAGCAAAAGCACACAACATTCTAATGGCCTCTAGTCTAGCTACAGGAGCAAAAATTTCTTCGAAATCTATACCTTCTTCTTGACAGTACCCTTGAGCAACTAGACGAGATTTGTTCCTAGTGATCAGACCACCCTCATCAGTTTTATTTTTGTAAATCCATTTAGTACCAATCACATTTACATTTTCAGGCCTAGGAACTAATTCCCATACTTGAGCCCGCTCAAATTGGTGAAGCTCATCATGCATCGATTCATTCCAGAATACATCCAACAGAGCTTCTTTTACTAATTAAGGTTCAATTAAGGAAATGAATGCAGTATGAACAGGTAAGAGTTTTGAGCGAGTGACCATACCTTCATCTATCTTACCTATCACCAAAGAAGGTGGATGTCGTTTGGCGATGTGAGGAGTGTGATGTAATTTTCTTGCTGTAGCAATCTCAGGCTCATTACTCGTCGTTTATGCCTTTTTTTTGTTCTTGTTGAACTGGACTAGAGATACTTCTGCTTAGACCAAAATCATCATCGTCCAGCTCACTTAACATCTCAACAGCAGAATTGTCAAATTTTACATTTATAGACTCTTCTACCTTAAGAGTCCTTTTGTTAAAACATTGAAAGGCTTTACTGGAGGTAGAATACCAAAGAAACACAGCCTCGTCTGATTTTGCATCGAATTTTCCTAGGTTATCTTTGGTATTCAATACAAAACACTTACACCCAAAAGAGTGGAAGTAGCTAATATTACGTTTTCTACCTTTCCAAATTTCATAAGGAGTCAATTTGATTACTGATCTAATTAGCGCTCGATTTATCGTAGCATGCAGTGTTGACTGCTTTAGCCCAAAAATACTTAGGAAGAGAGTAGTCATTCAGCATGGTTCGAGAAATATCAATTAATGTTCTATTCTTCCTTTCTACTACACCGTTTTGCTTAGGCGTCCTAGGTGCAGAAAAGTTATGGTGTATACTGATAAGCCTAGAAATGCACAATATTTATTCTCACATTATGCACAATATTTATTCTCACATTTAAATATCCAATTGGCTTGTAACACAAAATAAGTTCAGTTGTTTTTCAGGTTTACGCTTGGTTTTGTGTGTTTTGATGTTTCAGGATATTCAGAGACATGTAGGAAAGAAAAGGGTCAACTCGTCTCAAATCATGATTGAAAATGAGAATGTATAAGCATTGAGCTTTAATGCATGGGGTACAAATTTGTTAATTTTGAGTACTCATCTCGAGCTCACAATCCCATCTCCAACGTTGGTTCGTCATTTCTCATTTTCAATCAGTACTCAAAATTAACAAATTTGTACCCCATGCAACCAAGCTCAATGCTTATACATTCCACCACGAACCTACGTATGCATGGAATTGAAATTGGCTCACGTCAAATGGAAGAGTACAAGCTTGCAGCTCAAGCAGGCTGGTCCAAATTTGAGAAGCAGGCTGGTCCATTATTGAAGCTAGCAGCTGTTCAATGGGGAGTAGGAACGAGAATTTGCAAGGAAGCTGGTCTCCATGTGGCCATTAATTAGCGTCGGTGAAGTGGGAGAATGGAAAGCTAGCTGGTGAATTTGGAGGCCACGTCTTCTCTGCAAGCAACTAGCTCAAGCAAGCAGCTGTTAGGCTCAACAATTTAAGACAATCAACTGTAAATTTCTAAAGAGGGCTATTGTTCATTTATTTGGACTAGCCAACTTGCTCTATAAATAGCAGCGTACAGCGGCAAATTGGGGGACTCATTGACAATAGAATCCTTTCTCTTCTTGTTGTTTCCATTCCATTTCTTCCTTGTCGAAACTGTGCCAAATCTTCGTTGTAATATTCGTGTTTCAATCCAAAGTCATATGCTTCATACGATAACATTTCCAACTCTTGAGATTAGCGATAATATGTTACATCCGTAAATTACCATAAGAAGTTTATTTAACTTCTAGGTAATTTATTGGTATAACATACTTACTCTATTCTCGTTTCTTCCGCTTGGTCAACGAACAAGGTTATGGTAAATTTTCTACTCTTATGCGTTTAATGGGGATGAACTACCTCCCTACTCCCATATCTACTTTTTAAGTGGGGATTTGGTTTATACGATTAGCTAGCTCACTTGAGTTAGTTAAGTCCTTACGTATCCCCATATTAATATTTTCGAAGTGGGGTTTGGTTTATACGATTAGTTAGCTCACTTGAGTTAGATAAGTCCTTCCTCCCTTTCGTCAAATTTGTGCTATACTTATATTTATTTTTGGAGTGGGGTTAGGTTTATACGATTGGTTACCTTACTTGAGATAACTATATCTTTCCGCCCTTCGTCTGTTTTAATGAAGAACTAAAAAACACGTTGTTTGGAATGGTGGAACCCTCGATGAAATTAGAGATCTCAACTCTTTTAAAACAATTTAACTAACGGACTTATGAAAAATTAACATATCTTGTGTTCGTTTATCTTGTTCCCGGATGAGAAGAGAGACCCTCCATTTAGGAAATTGTTGAAAGACAGAGTCGTCTAGAAACAGCACTCTGACTCCTTGATCGCAAACACAAGAACCATTCAGGTAAAATTCATGAGAAATCGGGATTGATTTGTGTGGTCCATTTTGAGTGTAATTTGGGTCTTCATCTATCAACTTTCAATTATTTAATATGTCGTGAAAACCACGATTAGTAATTGGAAGCTGAACGAATTCATTGGTATGAAATTGCATGAATTCAATTTTAGAAATTACGATGGGATGAAATTCGTATTTAAATTTGTTAATTGAATTGATTTTATTCGAGATGAAAAATTGAGGGGGAAACTAATCCAAGCAACTTTTCCAAACCACTGTCTAATTAAATCAATCAGTTCGTTATATGATAGGGGAAAAGCGTATATGCCAAATTCCTATCTCGTAGTAAACCGGAAAGTTAGGGTATCGTCTCTCAAGGACTGGTACAACCTTAAGTTCTATCAATTTTGTATAGCAAACTATAGGTGAAAATGGTTTAATGAGATTATTAACTACTAGCAAAATAATTAAACTAATTAAGCAAAGTAAAATGGACGGGAGAAAATCAATGGGAGAAAGCTCTGGGAGAAACACCGGGACTCACTACCTATCATATCAAAATTAATTCACATATACTAATCACTTTAATCCAACTCTCTACAGCCAGGATATCACGAATGTGCTAGCTATCCCTGTCGGGAATTACTACGTACTAAATAATTAATTCAAATCCTACCGTCGTAGCTCAACGAATTAACTATTTAGCCTGAAGAACGAAATCCCAATCAAGACCGCATAGTACCTTATTTAATCCACTGTCACTTCGATAAGTTACTATGTCACATGAAATAGGTTCAGTTATTAGGGTTTCACTATCGCTAATAACCTAATTAACTACGATTCATTGTATTGGTGGCCAGTCAACACAAAGCATTAAGCAATTCCATGCAATAGAGATTGGAAGAAAATAAATACGAATTAATCCATCAAGTATAGAAATAGCTGCATCCTATGTTGTTTCCCCCAGAAATCTGGGTTTAGTTCATGATGAAATTGAGATAAATCGATAAAGTTTTGATCATCATATTCTAAATCAACAATAAACAAACAATTCGGATTAGAAAACCCAACCAAATCCCTTGTTCTTGTTGAACTAAGCTCACGACGCTTTGGGAGATGTCACTCGCCGAGTTGTTCTCTTCCTCTCGTCCCAAGCTATCACTGTGCCCTCTGCCTTTTTTATTTTTCCCCAATCGCTCGCCTGCTGCTTTCCCGGTTAACCTCTCGCGCCCAGCTCTCTCTTCGTTCCAAGAATAATTCCCCCTCTAATTCCCTTCTTCAATTCCTTTTGTTCCTTTCCTCCTGAGAATTCCCCTCCCCTCCAAAATAATAATTCCCAGCCGCCTCTTTTCCTCCTAGCCCAAAAGAGATTGCCGTGTCCCAAATATAATTCCCCCAGCTTCAATTCATTCCTTCCGTCCCAAATTCCTCTCAATTAATTGCCTCCTGTTTCTTTTTCCCTTCGCCCATATTCTGTGTCCACCCCTGGCAATTTAAAGTCCCAATTCTCTTCTCCCCTCCAATTATGTCCAAGTAAATTCCCTCCTGGTCCGGCCCTTTTCTGAATTAATTGCCTCCCTCTCCAAAAGGACAAAACGAGATGGGCTTGGCAAATAATAATGTCCATTTTCTCCTCAAGGCCCAATTGCGTCTCCTCCCCGAGACAAAGCGATTCGGGCCCAATTAATTGCTTGTGCACTTGCTTCTTTTTCGTGCTTTCTCCACCTGTAACATATCAAACTCATGGCGCTAGGCAGTAATGGTTTTTCAACCATTTCCGAGTTAGCGAGCCCTAAAATAGCACCAATCGACTTAAACATACCATGGGATAATCACATACAGTTCAAGAAGCAGACATATTAAAGCCGATTATCATTATACATTAGATCACTAATACTTGAGTAAGACAACAGAAAAGACCCTAGGGAAATACGACTCCAGTCAGTTTCACTTTCTGGATTATTTTTGCATGCGCTTTTAGCGACATCAAATTTTGGCGCCATTGCCGGGGAGTTTTTCTAGTTGCGTGAAAAAGAATTATTTCCTTATTTTATTAATTTTCCTACCTTGCTTTTCATGGTTTTTATTGTTTTTGTTTTACATTCAGGATCCCTTTTATGAATCGACCAAATACCAGATTTTACAAACAAAAACTTGAAGAAGTTGTCTACGAGACAGTGAGCAATCCCTCTGAAGTTGGAGATAGTGAGACAGAATTTGAAGACTATAAGGAGGTGAAGGAAGAAAAGACCATCATGGCAGCCCGTCAAAGAACATTGGGTGATTTCGCTAGACCAAGTGCATCTGGTATTGCCTCCAACATTACGAGACCACCCATCACAACAGCAAACTTCGAACTATACCATAGCACAATCCAGACGGTGTAGAACGCCGGTCAGTTCGAAGGAAAGGACGATGACAGCCTCGTCCATCGTGTACAAGTCTTTCTGGAAATTTGTGACTCCGTTCAACACCAAGGAGTCACAACAGATGCTATCAGGTTACGACTTTTCCCTTTCTCACTTAGAGGAAGAGCTAAGTTGTGGCTTGACTCTCAAGCACCAGGAACCTTCACCACCTGGGGCGATCTAGCACAAGCTTTTGTGGAAGAATACTTTCCTCCATGGAAGACAAACGGAATCAGGGAAAGAGTATCTCACTTTCGCCAACGAAGTGGAGAACCACTCTATGACGCCTAGAGACGATTCCAAGGATTACTTCATTCATGCCCTCACCATGGGTTCGGACAAGAGCAGCTTGCCGACACCTTCGAAAAAAGGTCTAGATATTGCCACAACAATCCTCATCAACCAATCAGCAGATGGTGATATGACTCAACTAACAGCCGATGCGTCCATAACACATTATGATGATATAGCAGCCAAGACAAGAAATTGGGCAAGAAGAACTGCTCCTCACCCAGTTTCTGTAAATAATGTCCAAGAGTCATCTGACTTTCAGACATCAATGATGCTACAAGGTTGACTACTTGGGACAGGGGTACCCACAAAATCGTCAAGGAGGTTTCTTCAATAACAACAATCGCCTCAACAACAACAACAACTATCAGCCCCCAGGCGGAGCACCTGCTGCAGTTATACGTCCACACTTTGGGAAAAATCCTCCACAACAAACATATCCGAATCCGTGGCCCCAGCCCACTTACTATAATCCCAACAAGGATTTCGATAGAAGGCCACAAAATAAAGGCCCACCAGGCTATCAAGCACGACCTCAATATCAGGGTCAAACTAGTGGAGCCTCTAACAACCAAACTGAAGATATGAGCATAGTTGATAGGCTTGAGAAGCTCATGTTGGGACAGCAAGCATCCATCTCCAACATTGAATTACAAATGATCAATCTGGCCAAGATGTTGAGTGAAAGACCCCCTAGCACTCTTCCCAGCAACACGGAGAATAATCCCAAGGAGCAACTGAAGGTTATAACCCTTCAAAGTGGAAAGGAAACCGAGCCCATACCAATTAAGATCACCAAACCAAGTCCACATTCTCCAAAGAAGTCAGCCAAAAATGTCATAATGGAAGCCGACCTGCATAATGAGAAAACCGAGCTAAATCCCTCATCTGTGCCAACTCTGCCACCATACCAACCAAAAGCTCCTTATCCTGCCAGATTGAACACGGAGCTTAGAGATGCAGCCTACCAAAAGTTTCTGGATCTTTTGGGTAAGGTGCATGTCAGCATCCCCTTCATTGAAGTCATCTCCAAAATGCCTCAATATGCCAAATTTATGAATGAGATTCTCACACACAAGAGAAAGTTGGGATCTTCGGTTGTCCTGAATGAAGAATGCTCTATCGTAATCCTCAACAAAAGTGTACAAGAAAAACTCAAAGATCCACGAAGTTTCACTCTACCATGCATCATCGGTAAACTAGAAGTGGAAAGAAGTTTGGCCGATCTCGGAGCAAGCATTAATGTAATGCCATTTTGCCTCTATCAACAACTTGGGCTAGGCGAGCTCACTCCGACCAAGATGACTATCCAACTAGCATACAAATCCACCCGACACCCTCGTGGCATCCTAGAAGTTGTGCTCGTGAAGGTGGGACCATTTGTCTTTCCAGCAGATTTTGTGATCATGGATACCGACGAGACTGACGTTTCACTAATCCTTAGCCGTCCCTTCTTAGCAACGGCCAGAGCTATAGTGGATGTTCATGACGGGAGGCTCACTCTAAGAGTCGGAGATGCCAGTACCACGTTCCGACTTAATGATGGAATGAGATATGCTCATGTTCATGATGACCTCAACTCAATTGATGATGAAATTGAAATGGCATCTGTTTCATGCATCACCATATTCCCAGAGGAAGACAAGTCTGAAGTATTCTCAATTACTAATCTTGAAGAAGAAGGGGAAGATTCTGAGTATCTTGAGGAACAACAAGAAGTTACTAAAGAAGAATCTAATTTTTCAGAGGAAGAACTACTAGAGGAGGTGGTTGAGCTCCCTAAAGTTCCTCTCTTGAAAACTTCCTATGATGAACCACCAACTTTGGAGCTAAAAGCATTACCAGAACATTTGGAGTATGCCTTCCTCAGCAACAACTCCAAATTGCCAGTCATCACCAACTCATCTCTTTCTCCACAGCAGAAGGAACAACTAGTGGCTCTACTGAAGAAACACATAAAAGCAATTGCTTGGAAGATCACAGACATCCAAGGGATAATTCCATCCTTCTGAACCCATAAAATTCTTATGGAGGACGAAACACGAGAGAAGTGGTAAAGAAGGAAGTCCTAAAGCTTCTTGATGACGGGATAATCTATCCAATCTCTGACAGCCCTTGGGTCAGCCTAGTACAAGTAGTTCCGAAGAAAGGATGCATGACTTTCGTTCCCAATAATAAGGGAGAACTCATCCCAACCCGAACAATCAATGGTTGGCGCGTTTTCATCGACTATAGACGTTTGAATGATGCCACTCAGAAGGGTCATTTTCCTCTTCCCTTCATTGATCAGATGTTGGAGAGGTTGGCTGGCCATGAATTCTATTGTTTCTTTGATGGCATGTTCGGAGACTTTCATATCCGATAGATCCAGCAAATCAGGAGACGACCACTTTCACATGTCCATATGGTACTTTTGCGTACATACGTATCCCTTTCGGGTTATGCAATGCACCTGCCACATTTCAAAGATGCATGACAGCAATCTTTGGGAATCTAGTGGAGGATGCTGTAGAAGTCTTCATGGATGACTTCTCTGTCTATGTAGATTCCTTTCATCATTGTCTAACAAATCTGGAGAATGTCCTTATTCGATGCGAGGAGACACATCTTGCATTAAACTGGGAGAAGCGCCACTTCATGGTGACAGAGGGAATTGTTCTTGGCCACAAGATCTCAAACAAAGGCATTGAAGTTGATCGTGCAAAGATCGAGACAATTGCGGCTCTTCCACCACCATCTTCTGTAAAAGCAATACGTAGTTTCCTGGGCCATGCGGGATTCTACAGATGCTTCATCAAAGATTTCTCCAAGATCAGTCAGCCTTTGACCAAGCTTCTGGAGAAGGATGCAGTTTTCTCATTTTACGAGAAATTTCTTTTGGCATTTAAGTTATTGAAGGAAAAACTCACCAACTCTCCCATCCTTATGTTTCCAGATTGGAACCTACCATTTGAGCTCATGTGTGATGCCAGTGATTATGCAGTTGGCACTGTGTTGGGACAAAGAAAAGAAAAGAGGTTCCATCCAATTTACTATGCCAGCAGAACTTTGAATGATGCTCAAAGGAACTACACCACCACAGAGAAGGAGATGTTGGCCATTGTTTTCGCCTTCGACAAATTTCGTTCATATTTGGTGCTATCTCATACAGTGGTCTTCACAGATCATCACTCACTTCGATACCTTCTATCAAAGGCAGATGCTAAGCCGAGACTCATTCGATGGATCCTACTACTCCAAGAATTTGACATAGAGATCAAAGACAAGAAAGGAGTCACAAATGTAGCTGCTGATCATCTATCTCGATTGGAGGGTGCTGAGTTTGCTATTTCAGATCCGGTCGAAATCAATGAGTCATTCCCGGATGAACTCCTCGAAGTCATCATCAAAGAAGCTGAAGGACCATGGTTTGCAGACATGGCCAATTATCTAGCCGTGGGACGACTTCCCCAACACCTATCATATCAAGCAAAGAAAAAGTTATTTGCTGACCTAAAGCATTACTTTTGGGATGATCCATTCCTATTCAGGATAGGCTCTGATGGGATAATCCATCGATGTGTTCCTATCACCGAGGCACATAATATCATCCATCATTGCCATTCCGGCCAGGCAGGAGGCCACTACAGTGGAAATCGTACAACAAGAAAAGTATTGGAATCAGGATTCTACTGGCCCACTATTTTTTGAGATTGCGACCACTTTGCTAGAAGCTGTGATGATTGCCAACGGATTGGCAATATATCTCGCCGGGATGAAATGCCACAACACATGTTTCAACCCATCGAGATCTTTGATGTCTGGGGCATTGATTTCATGGGACCCTTCCCATCATATTCGGGCAACAAATACATCCTAGTGGTCGTTGACTATGTGTCAAAATGGGCAAAAGCACAAGCCCTTCCCACTAACGATGCCAGAAAAGTGGGGAAGTTTCTCCAACAACTATTCACCCAATTTGGAGGCGACGGTAAAGAAGAGCTCATTGGGAGGCGACCCAATACTCGGTTTGCATTTTCTTAACCTTATTTGTTGTGATTTCTTCATATTCGATTTTTTTGTGTGCTTCGAATTTTGTTTTAAAAAAAATGTTTTTTGTGTGTTCCACCTTCTTTTTTATGTCCATTGAGGACAATGTCCAATTTAAGTGTGGGGGTGTATTGTGTGGCGTGAACTTCATAATTGTATTTACCTGTGTTTTATGAAAAAAATTGTGATAAAAAAACTAAAAAAAGGAAAGTTTTTTTTTGTGTTTTTAATAGTTGATATCTTTGGTTTTGATTTGAATTTCGTGATAATTACTATCGATACATGAATATTGTGATATGGACATCCAGCAACCTATTATGATGACTGAGGGACTAAAATAAATGTGTCTCGTGTTACTCTTCATTAGATGGCAATATATATATATATATATATATATATATATATATATATATATATTATGAAATCTTGAATTGGTCGATTGTCATCTTTGATTGTCTTTGCATAGTCATTGGAAAGCGTAGCATGAGAAACCGAGCATTTAGGAAAGGAAGTGAGATTTGAGCCTGATCGTTTCTTTCTTGTGTGTTTAGATCCCTCTCTGCATGACGAAATTGCAAAAATTTTAGTCGTGAAACCACTGATGAGGACGATGGAGGCATAGGTTTACCCCATTGCCCAAATGACTACCCGAAACTTCATATCCCCTAGTCAAACCCCGTTGAGATGAACCTATTTGTTCGGTGACAACCAGTTTCAAACCAATCCCTGTTCTTCAAGCCATATTATTTTGAACCCTTTTTCAAGGTTCCACCGAAACGGTTTAAACAAATGACTTTCTGCTTATTACATAAAAAAATGACTTTGGAAATTGGGAGAAATTGTTTCTAAAAGTGTTGTTCTTGAAAATATATTTTGGCCACTCTATAAGAAAAAATGAAACATACAGATATGCATGATAATAAGAAAAAAGTGGGTCATCAATTTCTTGCACTTACAAAAAGGAGTTGTTCCTCAAAAGTCAAATTCGACTACTTTCAAACTCCAAAATATCTCTAAATGCTTTCTCCCATTCCAATCATCCTACTAGAAAAGCAGCATGGTCATGATTTTGGTATGAAAATTGTGAAACCTTGAACTTACCACTAGATTAAATAAACTTTCACATGTCCATGCCCCCAGCCACAATTTACCCATTCTAAAGACCTTCGGACAAGTCAGTGTTGGCACAAATTTGAATACTCGAATGATATGCTCATGGCAGAGTGATGGTAGGGCGAGTGTCGTTAAAATGTATGTAAAAGTCATCTTTATTTTTGCATACATTCATTCCCTGACCCCACTGGTCGAGTGCGAGAGACTTTCAATCATCTCTAAATATTCATCGTGAGATCCTACGTGCTCTATCTCTCATGCTATGTTTTGTGATTCCTATGTTTAAACAATTGAAAATGATGAGAACTAATCTGGTTTTCAGCAGTTCTTGCATCTAAGTCAGAGTTTCCCATGTCAGAGGAGTGTTATGATCAAATGTCGTCTTTGGTGGTTGCCAACATCCATATTATAATATTTTTTGTTTTGATTTTGATTGTTACTTGTGATTCACCTGATTTCCCACTATGTGTGTTTGTGAGTTTTCAATAACAGGAGACAGGTTTTACAATTTAACTCGGGATTTAAGTGCTTTACTTGAGGACAAGCAAAGACTCAAGTGTCGGGGAATTTGATACGCATAGAAATACACATATTTATTCCCACATTTAAGTATCCAATTGGCTTGTAACACAAAATAAGTTCAGTTGTTTTCCTGTTTTACGCTTGTTTTTGTGTGTTTTGATGTTTCCGGATATTCATAGACATGTAGGAGAGAAAAGGGTCAACTCGTCTCAAATCATGATTGAAATGGAGAAATGACGAACCAACGTTGGAGATGGGATTGTGAGCTCGAGATGAGTACTCAAAATTGTCAAATTTTCACCCTATATAACCAAGCTCAATGCTTATACATTCCACCACGAACCTACGTATGCATGGAATTGAAATTGGCTCGCGTTAAATGGAAGAGTACAAGCTTGCAGCTCAAGCAGGCTGGTCCAAATTTGAGGAGCAGGCTGGTCCATTATTGAAGCTAGCAGCATTGAAATTAGCTCGCGTCAAATGGAAGAGTACAAGCTTGCAGCTCAAGCAGGCTGGTCCAAATTTGAGAAGCAGGCTGGTCCATTATTGAAGCTAGTAGCTGTTCAATTGGGAGAATGGGAAGCTAGCTGGTGAATTCGAAGGCCACGTCTTCTCCGCAAGCAACTAGTTCAAGCAAGCAGCTGTTAGGCGCAACAATTTAAGATAAGCAACTGTAAACTTCAAAGGTGGGCTCTTGTTAATTTATTTGGACTAGCTAGCTTGCTCTATAAATAGCAACGTACAACGTCAAATTGGGGGACTCATTGACAATAGAATCCTTTCTCTTCTTGTTGTTTCCATTCCATTTCTTCCTTGTCGAAACTCTGTCAAATCTTCGTTGTAATATTCGTGTTTCAATCCAAAGTCATATGCTTCGTACAATAACATTTCCAACTCTTGAGATTAGCAGTAATATGTTACATTCGTAAATTAACATAAGAAGTTTATTTAACTTCTAGGTAATTTATTGGTATAACATACTTACTCTATTCTCGTTTCTTTCGCTTGGTCAACGAACAAGGTTTTGGTAAATTTTCTACTCTTATGCGTTTAATTTTCACGATGTTACTATCGTGGGTAAAATGGGGACAGACTACCTCCCTACTCCCATATCTACTTTTTAAGTGGGGATTTGGTTTATACGATTAGCTAGCTCACTTGAGTTAGTTAAGTCCTTCTGTATCTCCATGTTTATATCTTCGGAGTGGGGTTAGGTTTATACGATTAGGTTTATACGATTAGTTAGCTCACTTGAGTTAGCTAAGTCCTTCCACCCTTTCGTCAAATTTGTGCTATACTTATATTTATTTTTGGAGTGGGGTTTGGTTTATACGATTGGTCACCTCACTTGAGATAACTATATCTTTCCGCCCTTCGTCTGTTTTAATGAAGAACTAAAAAACACGTTGTTTGGAATTGTGGAACCCTCGATGAAATTAAAGATCCCAACTCTCTTAAAACAATTTAACTAACAGACTTATGAAAAATTAACATATCTTGTGTTCGTTTATCTTGTTCCCGGATGAGAAGAGAGACCCTCCATTTAGGAAATTGTTGGAAGACAGAGTCATCTAGAAACAGCACTCCGGCTCCTTGATCGCCAAACACAAGAACCATTCACGTAAAATTCATGAGAAATCAGGATTGATTTGTGTGGTCCATCTTGAGTGTAAATTGGGTCTTCATCTATCAATTTCAATTATTTAATATGACGTGAAAACCGAGATTGGTAATTGGAAGCTGAACAAATTCATTGGTATGAAATTGCATGAATTCAATTTTAGAAATTACGATGGGATGAAATTCGTATAAAAACTTGGTAATTGAATTGATTTTATTCGGGATGAAACATTGAGGGGGAAACTAATCCAAACAACTTTTCCAAACCATTGTCTAATTAAATCAATCAGTTCGTTATACATTAGATCACTAATACTTGAGTAAGACAACATAAAAGACCCTAGGGAAATACGACTCCAGTCAGTTTCACTTTCTGGATTATTTTTGCATGCGCTTTTAGCGACATCATATACCCTTACTAAGATAGAACTTATCAAACCTGTCAGAAATAAATTCTCTACCGTGATCTCTAAGGAGACTAACTATCTTAGACTGCTTATCATTTTCAAGTTTAATGGCTAGGTTACTAAAATTTTCAAAAGCTTCATCGTTGCTAGCTTAAAATAGTACCTAGGTGAACGAGAGAAATTGTCTACAATTACAAAGGCATAAATCTTACCTCCATAGCTCACTACATTAGTAGTACCAAAAGATCAAGATGCAGTAATTCAAGAGGCTTAGAAGTTGAAATTACTTGCTTGCTCTTAAAGCTAGTCTTAGAGTGCTTACCTCTTACACAAGCATCATAGAAAATGTCTTTGTTACTGCTAAGTTTTGGAAGACCCCTAAAAAAGATCTAATTGAACTAGCTTAGACAACACTCTAGAATGAACATGACCAAGAGGTCTATGCCAGTCATAAAGATTGTTTTCACTTTGAGTAGCCAGGCAGAGTTCATTTGACAGTTTTTTGCTATCAAGATTAAAGACATAGACTTTGCCAACTCTTTGTCCTGACAGAATAATTTCCCTAGATGCAATGTTTTCAATATAGCAAGTATCTTCTTAAAAAATGATACGATTTCCCTTTTTACAGATATGATTCACAGAAATGAGGTTGTGTTTTAATTTATTTACTAACTTGACATCAGTAATATAGGGTCCTTTACCTACAGTACCCCTTCCAAGAATGTTAGCAGAGTTATTGTCACCGAAGTACACCGTACCTTCCTTACCTGGGTGAACTTTGTGAAAAGATCTGGGTTACCTGTCATATGGTGTGAGCACCCACTATCTAAGATCCAGGTGTTAGTCTTCATGCGCACTTAATACATTCATGCATCAATAGTAGTCATTTGGTTTTTTGTACCCAGATTTTCTTGGGCATTTGTTTATCATACACTGTCATATGACGAGTTCGGAAACTTAGAAAAGCATTTCCACCTTTTCTTCTCTCACTATCCATTCTTTTCCTGCAGTCCCGAATTAAATGTCCTACTCTATGACAATAATAGCATTTTCTTGATTCTTTTACATTCTAAGTTTTATGCCTATCTGAGCATTCTGAGCTATTATATAGTTTCTGACTCTTATCTTTCAGTATTTCAAACTTTTCTCTATGAGCAGCAGCTAGTGAATCTTCTAGTTTGGAACATTTTTCTCTATATTCATTCACAAGTTTTTTTAGATTACTATGCTCAATGGTTAGATCGTTTTAGTCTGCCTTCAGTTTAGTATATTTAATTTTGACTACTCCAAATTATAGCTAAACACTTTTGATAGTTTTAGCCAAATCCTCACTATAATAGTCTGATTCGTTAAATGGTTCTGAGTCATATTGACTTACCTCAGTAGATTTGAAATGCACCTCTCCTGATC